GGGGGGTGGGGTAGAGATGATGGGAAAGGGACGTCAGCCTGGGGTCAGCTGGAGGCTGGTTCCAGGAAACAGGTGTAGCTGGTGTATGACCTGAGATAGTAGCCATTCCCCTCTGTATGGGTTCTTTGGCCACCTGCCAGTCACCTCCTGTGTCCTAAGCACCATGCTTACAGACTTGTGAGAAAGACAGACGTTTAGACTAAGAACTTTAGTCCAGGGAGAATGATGTGGAGGTGAGATGTAACGTTTATTCTGACACATAGAGGCCGATAGTAATTTTGGCTGGTAAAGTGCTTGTCCTGCAAGCCCTCGGATCTGAGTTAGATCCCCAAAACCACATACAAACCTAGCTGTAGTGCTATGTGCTTGTAACCCCAGTGTTAGGGGGGCAGAGACAGGCAGATCCCTGAAGCTCATTGGCCAGCCAGTCTAGCTGAATTGGTGAGTTCCAGGTTCAGTAAGAGATCCTGTCTCCAAAAAATGAAACGGAGGACAATTGAGAAAGACATCTGAAGTTAATCTCTGGCCTCTGTACACACGCGCGCACACATACACACATGCACACGCACATGCACACGCACGCACACACGCACACGCATGTACACGCATGCACACGCACACACAGAAGGGTGTATTTTAAAAACCAGAATGGGCTCTGCACTAGTCCCATTCTGCTGCTGTGACAAGAACCATGACTAACAGCAGTTTAGGTGAAGGAGGATTTGTTCCTTTATTTTTTATTCCCGTGTCTGTCTGTGTCTGCTGGTGTTAGCAAGGGTCACGAGGGCCTTGGATCCCTTGAAGCTGGAATTATGGGCAGGTTGGAGCTGCCTTACATGGGTGCTGGGATTCGAACTAGCATCCTCTGGAAGTCCTCTCTCCAGTCCCTTTCCCCCTTTTTTAGTGAAAAGCAGAAAAAAAAAATACTCAGTGTGGTCTCCCTGGGGGAGGAACAAGGGGATCGGTCACCCCTCAAGTCCGTCTTTAGGGTTCTGCAGTGAGAGACGGAGAGGCCGCGGATGTGCACCTCTAAACAGTGCTGCTCTCATCCTGTGGAACTGTAGGAAATCTCTGTCAGGGAGACACGTTCACCAGGGAGCAAGGATTTATCTGGCTTGTACCTGTGTGCCCAGGCAGGGCAGGGGTCAGAGCAGGATCTCCAACTGGAGCTTGAATCGGAAGCCATGGAGGCATCCTGTTTGCTGGCTTGTTCACAAGGCTCATGCTTCACTTTCTCACAGAGCCCAAGGCCACCTGCCCAGGGAATGGCGCCACCCACAGTGGCCCAGTGGCCCACATCAGTCAACAGTCAAGACAGTTCCTCACAGGCATGCCCCGAGACTGATCAACTTGATAAAGACAGTTACTCAGTTGATACTCTTCTCAGGTGATTTTAGGCTGTGTCAAGTTAATAGTTAATGCTAACTAGGATGTGCTTCCTAGAGGGGACATGGGGTGGGCTGTTTTCTCAGGGTGAACTGCTGATTGTGTTGGGTAACAGCATCCTCATAACTCCCTTTTGGTTTTCTTTTCAGCAAATTAGCAGTTTCCTATCTAGAACCAGAGCTGCAGGACACCATCAAGGCCAAGTATGGAGAACACGTCCTCTTTGCCTACTTCAATAAGGGTCTCTAAGTGCGCCATGCCTTCAAGGACCAATCCCTGCCCTGTGTGGACCAGCTTTTCGCTGGCAGCTGTCCATATTCCTCTTTGAAATAAGGTCTGGAAGCCAGGCTGGATTGGGAGATGGAGTGGGTGGGAGGGGAGATAGTTCCTGTTTCCATATAAACAACCGGGACAAAAATTCAAATGGGGATCAAGGTGGTTGGGGATGTAGCTCAGTTGGTAGTGTTTGCCTGGCATCCACAAAGCCTGGGATTTAATCCTTTAAACCATGTGGTTCAGGCGTGATTGTACATGCTTATGACCTTGTTCTTGGGAGGTGGAGGCAGGAGGATTCGAAGTTCAAAGTCAACCTTAGGTATGTGGGGAATTTGAATCTAGTCTGAGTTAGAGAGAGTGTCTCAAAAAAGCAGGGGAGGGAACAAGGACAGAGGTTTCCTGTCTGCTTTGTCCTTGACCCTGTCCTTTGGGAGCAGAGGCTGCTGGTATCTGGGAGTGATTAGGAAACCTGTGACTCTTCTCCAGTCAGGACTGTAGATGTACTGAGTCCTCCTCCTCTATCCTCCCACTTCCTCCTTCCCAAGCAAGGGGAACGTTACCCGTGTGAGTCTGAAAAGGCTTTTGATCACTTTCCTTTTATTTTATGTATGGTGTTTCCCTTCATGTGTGTCTCTCTGCACGCAGTGTCCACAGCGGTCAGAGGAGGGTGTCAGATCCTCTGGGACTGGAGTCACCACTGTGAGCCGTCACGTGGGTGCTGGAAATCCAGCCCAGGTCCTCTGGAAGAGCAGCTGCTGCTCTTGCCTGCTGAGCCATCTCTCCAGCCCCTGTTCAGGACAGAAAGTCCTCTTGGGGACTCATCTCTACCCTTCCCCTCTGTGCTCTGCCTGGGATGCATCCTTGGGAATGCTGCTAGACTAGAGTTCTTCAGGCCGTGAGAGTTAGACTGGTGTGTACCACAGGAAAAGGAAGCTGTGCTTGGACACCCGAGCACAGTTCAACCAGCACCAAAGAGCCTTAAGCGTGTACAGCCAGACTGCCATTTCACCCAGGTTATGTGGGGCATCAAGTTCTATCCCTTTGATAATGACTTTATTTTGTCTGAAAATCATGTCTAGATCTATGTCTGGGACCCTTATTCTGAGAGAAGTCTCTTCTTTCATTGCCTCCCCTGGTTTACAAGTCCCCCCGTGAGTGAAGGCACCTGCCACACGTTTTAATGGGAATGATTTCCTGGTGGCCTCCCTTCCTGAGCCCAGTAGATTAAATACCAAAGAAAGACTGGTGAGTACTGGTAAGACAGGGGAGCTGTACTTGGACATCCCTGAGAGGAAGTCAACCAGGACCAAAGAGAGCACACAGCAAAGGGCCGCTTTACTTCCTGTCTGTTCCTGGAGCCCCCTGGGGACTGTAGTTTACCTGGGGTCATTGTGTATATGAGTTTTGTCTGGTAAAATCTGCTGATTGTGTTCAAACGATGCCATGAATTGAATAAACGATTTGAAAGACCATGAAACATTGTCTGCAAATCAAGCTTCTAATTCCTGATGGAAAGCAGGGCCTGTGGTCTGACTTTGGCCTGGGCATGCCAGAGGATGTCACAGCTGTAAGGGGACCTGTCTGGTGTCTGGAGACCATTGTTCATTTCCCTAATAAGGGGGCAGAATCCACCCACCTGTATTGATGCTCCACTGGTCTCCAAGAATGGGATTTGTGCTGCCTTAGGGCTGGAATTGGTGGACCATAACACAGCCAAACTTTCACCTGTGCGCTCGCCCTTTCTCTCTCTCTCTCTCTCTCTCTCTCTCTCTCTCTCTCTCTCTCTCTCTCTCTCTCCACTTGGAA